TTTGGAGGTGACTTTAACACCATAATTAGGCCCGAAGACAGGAGAGGCTCCATAGACCGGCTGGGTTGTTATAGGGTTTTTTGTGATATGGTTAGACAGGCAGGCCTGGTAGATGTGCACATTAAGCACTGCCCTGGCAGCACGGGGTTCACATTTCAGAGAGGGAATAGTCAGAGCAGGATAGACAGGTTTTTTTTTTTTTAAAGGAGTACTCTTTCTTGGCTCCTGAGTTGAGGGTGGTGGAGTTCTCTGACCACTGTATGCTGTCTGTGACTCTGAATTCCTCGAACACTCCACCCAGGGGAAGGGGTGTCTGGAAACTGAATTTGGCTCTCCTGGAAGATGTAGAGGTAAGACAATCCTCTGAGGGTTTTTTTCAGGCACATGTTTCTATTTTGGACTTTTGCAGCAGTAAGTCAGAGTGGTGGGAGCTTGTGAAACAAAATGTGATTGGACTTTTCAAGGCCATAAGTAAGAAGCAGCTTGGTATGTATATTGCCTACCAGCATTTGCTGAGGCAGCTTGGTCGTCTTGTCTCGTATGGAAGAGATCCAGGGGAGATCTCTGAAGTGAAGCTTCTTCTTAGGAAGTGTCAATACGACCGGCATGCCTCCTTGGTTCTGGAGAAGGATTATTGGAAATATCACTCGCCTCATCCTTACCAGAACTGCAAGCAAGGCATAGCAGTTAAGACGGTCATTGGCCTGAAAGACAGTACGGGTTCCCTGATAAAGTCCAGATCAGGGATCTTGGAGATCTTTGGGTCATATTATGCAGACCTCCTGGGAAGAAAGGACCTTAGCCGGGACAAGATGGAAAGCTTTCTGTATTCTACTCCAAGATTGGGAAATGGTACATTGCTTTTGATGAATCTGACAGAACCACTTTCAGTGGATAAGGTAGTTCATGCTATAGACAAGCTAGCTACCAAAAAATCGCCTGGGCCAGATGGATTGACAGCTGATTTTTACAAATGTTCTAATTCTTTTCTGGCTCCCTTTTTAGCTGAGGTTTTTAATAGCTTTCTGGAAAAGGGTTTTCTCTCTCCCTCTCTCCCTCCATGAGGCGATCCGCTGTGATTCTTCTGTCAAAAGCTAAAGACCCCTCAATGATTGAGAACTGGTGCCCCATCAATCTTCTCAATATTGATAGAAAGATCTTGGCAAAAAAATTTTTGGTGCTTGTCATCAGTAGCAGGCGATTTGTCCAGCCATCAGCACTGTTCAGTCCAAGGTAAAAGTACCTTTTCAGCAGTTTTGGCTATCCGGGAGGCCTTGGAATGATGCAGGGCTGCTGGATGGAGAAAGTACTTGCTGGCATTGGATCAGGCAAAAGCTTTTGATCAAGTGAATCATGAAATATCTGTGGTTGCTACTTGGTAGATATGGCCTGCAGGGGAGGTTTATAGATTGGCTGAAGACATTATATAGAGGGGCTGAGAGCTTCCCACTTGTTGATGGTTGGGCGGTCTTTTGAGGTTGGCTCTGTGCGCCAGGGATGTCCTTTGAGCCCTCTGGTATATGCTTTCGCAATTGACCCCTTTGTAAGAAGGCTAGACGGTGCATCATTGTACGGGGTGCCTATGGGCATTGCTGGTGTGCCGCCTTTGAAGGTCGTGGCCTATGCTGATGATGTGTCTGTTATCTCTGGGACTGAGGAGGCGCAGGAGGTGGTCTCTGTGATAGAGCAGCACATGGAGGCTTCTGGCTCTAAAGTCAACCATGAAAAAGTGAAGTTTTCTGGATGGGTGAGTAGGGTGTAAGCTTCGAACTTCCAGATGCCTTCCCGGAGCCCTAGCAGAAAATTAAAGTTTTGGATATCAAGTTTGGTCCTGATGACTATGGCCATCGAAATTGGGAAAGCAGGTTGGTAGATGCCAATGCCAAAGTAGCAAGCTGGAAGAGATGGGGGCTTTCCTTGAGGGAGAGGGTTGACTTGATCAAAACTTACCTGATCCCAATCTTTTTATATGTCGGCTTCATCTGTATCTTGCCAGTATCTCTTTTTAAAGTACAATCTTTGTAATATGTTAGCAGAGACCCCGCCGGGATGGGTGGGTATTTTTTAGTCTTGGTTTAGCCCTTTTACTGTGTTGCTGGGAAAATGGCGGGCCAGTGAAAAGTCTGAGAGTCCGACATGGCAAGCTCCAAGAAGAATGCCAAAAGTTCTCATTCTTCATAAACATCACTAAGAAAACGGAAATCAGATTTATGTGTTGAAAATACCATGCAATACCCGAATGGCAACAATAAAATGTTGATTGTTGATTTCTGATAAAACTTTTTCATTTAATTGGGTTTTGGCTAATGTTCCATTTGTTGTGTCTCCCATGCTCTCTGTTTATTGCTTTTTGTTACCTCCTTGACACCATTTCTCGCTTTTTGACAATATAACAGATGGGTTTGTGATTCATTACTTACTTTGTGTTCTATCTTCCTCTAATTAGTTTTTGGATCTGTTCACATTTTTAAGTAAAACATCTGACTTGTACTGTATGGAACACTTCAAATAGAAGTCCCATTCTTTCCTATATGGCAGGTTCACATCTGGTTTAATGTGCTTTTAAAGGTAAATGGTCTGTTCTTGTGCACACACAGGTGTGGATGGGCTCTAAATGTACATTACTGAGAATTTTATTAAATTTTTTGTTTTATTTCTGGATGGTAGAATACAGACTAGAGCATGGGGGAGAGTTGGATGTACCATATATTTTATTTTAAAGTGAACCTGTCACCTATTTTCCAGTAGAAAAAAAGAGAAGTCATACTTCATGGTAATGGGTGATATTGTTTCCTTTAAAAGCATGTGGCACCTCTTGGTGATCTCCGATTTCATTCTTCATGCTAGTTTCCCTCTATGCCATGCTAGTTGGGACATCCTTAATATTTGGTTGGAATTTGATCTTCTAACAAGCGATTCCTCCATCATGATCAAATAGCTAGCAGCCTAGGACTGAAATCAGGCCTGCGGGCACACCAGACTTTCACAATGGGTTCACTTTCTCCAAGGAGTACACCCTCCCTGTTATATTTACTCTTAAACCAATTTTCTTTCCTACCAGTCCAGTGCTAATATATACCTGGCAGTATGTTAGTCTTTGAATAGTACTGGTGGGAGGAGCCAGATTGTGGTGGGCAGCCAACCACTGACCTGGGTATATCTGTGGACAGTCATGTGACTCTAGCTAAAATCCAACCTTGCATTCAGAATGGAAAACATTCAATATTCACCACTCCTACTATCCCCACCGCTGGTCGCTGCAGTAGTGATTATGAACCTTGTTTGGATATAATGATTGTAATTTATTTTTTTTTTTTAATCACAAATAGGTTTTATACTTCTATACACTGAGTGGCCCTCTTCTTTAGTCCCCCACTATTGCTCCTGGCTCCTCCTGTCTGGCAAGATGTTTTCTATTCATGTGGGCTCACTCCCGAGCTTCGCTGTTTTCATCTATAGACACAGGCAGCGGGACTCGGCCCTGCTCCCTCCTCACTTGCATTGAGTGAGTGTAGGAGTAGCCAATGCCTCCTGCTACTTCAGCAAAGCCTTTGAGACCAGGTAGTGTGGGGAGAGAAGAACTGCAGATGGGTTCAGCACTCTGTTGAATGAGGGCTCAGATAAGTAAGGCGGGGTGGGGTGTGAGGGGGATACTGATGCCTAAACTTTTTTTTTTTTACTTTAATGCAGGGAATTTATAGCCACTTTAATTCTATAGAATTTTCAGCCAGCACTGTGGCTGCATCCGCCACCCACTAAGGCACTGCCTTGTCCTGCAGTGAAATAGGGAAGGATCCCCACAGTGTGGCGGGATCCACAGAAAATCAGCACTCCTGGAAATGTCAGCTTTTGCTTCATTGAAGCTGTTCTGTTCTGTAACATAAAACTGAATGCCTAAAAATCATAATGTGTTGCTTTTCTAAAAATATTTTTTCCTTGCCAGCAGCATTTAGTGGGCATTTGCAGATTAGGAGTGAATAAAAAAAATCATTTCTAAAAAGAAAAAACAAGCAAGTAAGCATTTAGAGCCAAAGTTTATACGTTCTTTATTTTGCCTCCCATGGTCTCCCTACCGCAACATGCTAATGAAATTTTTAAATAAAACCTTTCCGTTTCCATTACTTATTTAAGACCTGGTGATGTCATCACTGGGTCTCTGTGCTTCTCTGTGCATTGCAGGCAGGCCATTGCTGGTGGGAGGGGCTGGCAGGATACTGTACATAGCTTCCTGAAAGCATCACAGCACCCTGCCTTAGTAGTCCTCCCAAGAGACCTCCCCCAGTCTCGGGGGGAGTTTTATGCAAATATCAAAATGGGCCGAGGTCAGTCTGGAGGATTTGGCATCCCTAGACAAACTGTATTTGCACAGAGACCACCCTAGTTATTATTATTCAGGATTTATATGGCGCCAACAGTTTGCTCAGCGCTTTACAATATAATGGGAGACAGTACAGCAACAATACAGTTCAATACAAGAGGGAAAGGGAGGGCCCTGATCCTTGGAGTGAATGCTCACATGTGATGCTGAGCCTTCCTAATTGAAAGAACTGTAATCCAGTAAATGAAATGCCGAGAAGGAAAGAGCTAGATGATGCTGGACGTGCCCCAGCCAGGCAATGAGGTGTGCTCTATCTTCCTTGCTGCAGCTTCTAATGCATATTGTGAGAAATTAAAATAAATTGTGAGAAGCTCACAGTGTGCAGTGAAATCAGAGTAAACCATTTCAGTCAAGGAGAGGAGAGGGTACAACTGTGCAAGACTGGAAGGCTGGAGATCAAGTTGAAATACTTGTTTTTTCTGTGAATTTTTTCCTGCAATGGTTTACGTTTGTGACCGGGTCTCTTTAATGACCTCCTCTATTAGCTGCATATTTCCTTCCATGTTGTTGTGTTCAGCCACCTCCAGCTCTGAGCAAGCACTGTGGCTGAATCCTCCTCTCACATGTGATAGTGTTGGATGTTTCATACTTATATTCCTGCCGCATTGGTCCAGGAAAGAGGACCATAGCCCTGGATGAGCTCGGACAAGTCAGTTTGCAGTTTACAATGAACTTTATTTCCCCTGTCTTGTTGGCAGAGAGGACCAGAGCAAGGAATGTTGTGTATTGATTGTTGGGAAGGAGGTAAGTGATCCTATTACCAGGGGCGGACTGACCATTTGGAAACTCAGGTACTCCCCGAGGGCCGGGGGTCAGTAGGGGGCCCCATGAGATGCCCCTGGTACCTTTTTTCATAGGCTTTTTTGAGTTTGGGCAAGGACACAGGGGCCCCGTGATCCCCTATTGCCCGGGGGCCCCATGAGTTGTCAGTCCGCCCCTGCCTATTACTTTATCCTTCATGAGTCTGCGAGGATTAAGGTGGGAAGAGGGCGAGATTACGTTAGAGGAAGGTATACTTACCTTGGATTACCCCCCCCTAAAGTATACATGTCTTGTAGCAAAGCCCTCACACCCCTATAAACAGTACATTTTTGTAATTGGAGTAAAACGGATAAAATGAAATGGGTACATAGATCAGCTGCTTTATAACAGACCCAGTGGGATAAAATTGTTCTGGTATAGAATAGTATGTTAATGAATTAATGAAGAGCAGCTCTGTGTTCTTTCTGCTGTATAAATTATACACATTAAGTTATACTGTTCTTCCCCGAGGATACCCTGATATCATCAGGACTGTCGTCTGGCTGCAGTTTATATCTGTGTGTTGGCTATCTTTCAGGATTATACAGCTCTGCCAATTAATATGAGCAAGACATACCGTCCTTCAGAAACAAGCCTGCAGCCTTTTAAAGGGTTACTAATGTCAAAAATTGATAAAGGACACGTTAGAGGGCCCCAACTAAGTGTAGTATATAGGAAAAGACTCTTGTTAACCAATTCCAGTCCGGACACTTTTACCCCTTTCCCGTCCAGGCCAATTTTCAGCTTTCAGTGCTATCACCCTTTGAATTACAATTGCGCGGTCATGTAACACTGTACCCATATGAATTTGTTAGCATTTTTTTGAGACACATAAAGCTTTATTTTGGTGGTATTTTTTCACCACTGGGATTTTTATTTTTTTTTGCTATGTAAATGAAAAGTCAAGAAAGTTTGAAAGTTTTTCTTATAACATTTTGCAAATAGTATTTCATCATAAATCTTGGCCAAAATTTATTCCGTTATCTTTTTAGTAAAAAAAAAAAAAATCCCAAATTAGTTTATAACCAAAATTATCATTTTTAAAAAAATTTTTATATGTGTTTTTTTTTCTCTTTTTTATATACTGTCACCCTAGCAGTACAGTATGTAAAAAATTTTTTTTTACATTTTTATATTTATATACTGTTTTATATTTGTATATTGTTTTTTTTTATATACTGTCACCCTAGCAGTAAAGTGTCACCATGGTGACACTGTACTACTTGTGGGGGGAGATGATTTTTTTTTTTTTTACTTTTTACACTGATTGCTTTTACACCCATAAAGGCTGTAAAAGCAATCATTTCTCCTTCTCTCTAGCTGCATTCTTACAGCCATTGAGAACTACTATGTGAGCTGTGATTGGTCACAGCTTGTCACATGGTACAAGGCTGTTGTGAATAGCCCTGTACCATGTGACCGCTGTGATTGGTCCAGCTTGTCACATGGTACAAGGCTGTTGTGAATAGCCCTGTACCATGTGACCACTGTGATCATTCACAGATTTCACACGTAGGAAGCAATGATGTCAGAAGTGACATCTTGCTCACTACTCTGTATGTCATCACTCATTGGCCAATCAGTGATCACATGATCGGGACCTCGCACAGAGGTCCCGTCCGACGATCAGTGTTCCACTGTGTCCGGAGGACACAGTGGGCACCGGATCGCGGTGCTGCGTGCACAAGCAGGGTGCGGGGATGCCGTTTATAAACGGCCACCCGACCCTGCACTGCTCCCATCTGGCTGTTTATATACGTGGGCCGGACGGGAGGTGGTTAAAAATCACAAATGGCAACTCACAAGATGCAGAAGGATAAGAACATGTCCCCTACACAGTGTGGTTTGCTGTTGATCCTCCAAGTGATCTTAGGAGCCGGGAAGCGGATGAGGCTCATCCGCGAAGCGCACTGGGTGGATGACATTCTCTCATCCTTATGCATCTTGTGAGCTGCCACTTGTGATTTTTAATAAAGTCTTTTCCTATATACTGCACTTCGTTGGCGCATTCTGCTGTTTGCTTCATATATTATAGAGATCACTTCTGTCTCGTTGAGGAGCTGCCACGGATACCTTTCGGACCTATGGACTTTTAAGTGTAATCCTACACCCCTACAGCATGTTTACGTGTATGATTATATTGTAGCCTGGCTGTACCCCTACCTGCACCATTCTCAATAATTCCTCATGTCAGAAATCTGCCTTCTCAACCCTTAGATAGCAAAAAAAAAGCATCGGGGTGTACAAGAGTATGGCTGTTTACAGCCATTCACTTGTATGGGATTGTATGCACCAGTTGTGGGTTCCTTGACTCAGGAAAGAGCTGGGACATTTATGCTTGGCGTTTAAAATGCCTACAGGAATGAATGTGCATGAACCCCAAAAGCTGGATTTCCCCCATTTTGAGCTTAAACTCTCGTCACCCATTTTTACTCCATGGGTCAGCAAGTTAGAGCTTGGGTCTTCAGTGAAATGCAAGCGTTATGATGCCCTCTTGGCACATGTGCCCTGGAGCTATATCGCCTGTAATTGATACCCGTGAACGTGTACTTTGATAGGAAAGACACTGAGCTGGATTCCAGGTATGGATTTTGTTGCATAGTTACATTGGGACCTTTGTGGAAGTGGAGAATCACTCTAGTCATAGTTACATAGTTAGTCTGGCTGAAAAAAGACTAACGTCCATCCAGTTCAACTATTAAAAAAAAAAAAAAAAAAAAAGTTATAATCCTACACCTGATCCAGAGGAAGACAGAAAAACCCAGCAAAGCATGAGCCAATTTGCTCCTGCAGGGAAAATGATTCCTTCCTGATCCCCCGAGAGGCAATCAGATAGTCCCTGGATCAACTTTACCTATAAATGTTAGTATCCAGTTACTACTACAGTGATCACCGCTGTCTTCCATGTCCTGTGCCAAGCAGCTGCCCTACTGCATACTAGCCACAGGGATTACTCGTTCAACATGGGCACTGTATACAGAATGCCTTGTATTTTTCTCAGTAAATGCAAGGAGTTCTCTGATTGGACGAGGTGGAAAGGCAGGCATTGTTGCCTCAGTTTCCACTTTATCCAGTCAGAGAACACTTTGCATTCATGAAGAAAAAAAGCAAGGTGATCTGTGAATGTTGCCTGTGCTTGGCTGCCCTTAAGGTCACACATTCAGCATGGAACCCAGAAGGAGGAGACATTCACTGTAGTAGCGGTAACTACTACAGTGATTCTCTGCTTCCACAGCAGACTTCTAGGTATAGCATTTGCATACATACATTGATCCAAGCTGAAACAATGTCGTCTAGGCTGTAAAGTCCATACCCGGAGCTCAGCTTTGGAGTAGATGAGGCTACTCAATAACCCACCTGTTTTCCCTGTGCTCTGATCTTCTATACCTACATTATGTAATACATCTTTCTGATTAGTACCTCCTTTTTGTGGCTAGTGGGCAGGAACTCCTCTCTTGGCCCAACAACCCTGGGAGCTATGGACACTTTGGATGATGTCACGGCTACAAGATATACAGCACTGTTGTCAGCCCTTTCACAGTACAGAAACTAGCTGGAGCTTTGCGGTCATGTGACCGCAAAGAAAAAGAAAGTGTTCATGTTACAATTCATACGTATTCAAATTCATATTACAAAATGTAAGTAGACAGAATCAGGGAATGCATCATTAAACAGAAGGGCTACTCTGTAGCTTTTACTTCCACTTTAACCACCTCCCGCCTGCCATATAGTACAATGACGGGCGCAAGGCGGTTCTCTCGTTCTGGGAGGACTTCATATGATGTCCTCCCATTCTAACCACGCATGCATGGCTCCAGGAGTGCGCAGCGTTGCGATCGTTGGTGCTCTGTGTCCCTCAGAAACAGCGGATCACCAATCAACAGAGCCGAAGATGTCGGCTCGGTCATGTGATCAGCTGTGTCCAATCACAGCTGATCACATGTAAATAGGTAAATGCCGGTTATCGCATTTCTCTCCTCATGAGCTGTCATGCTGACAGAGGAGAGGAGAGCCGGTAATCGGCATTTCTTTAGAGGGGACATGTACACTGATTATCAGGGCACTGATGATCAGTGTGCCCTGATGATCTGTGTAGCCCCTGCAGTGCCACTTGTCAGTGTCCATCAGTGCCAGCTGTCAGTGCTCATCCATGCCACCTGCCAGTGCCCATCAGTACCATATCAATGCTACATTTCAGTGCCCATCAATGTCACTTCAGTGCCCATTGAGCTTCCTTTCAGTGTCACACATCAGTGCCAGTCAGTGCCACCTATCAATGCCTATCAGTGCCAGTCAGTGCCGCCTATCCGTGCCCTTCAGTGCTGCCTGTCAGTGCCACCTATCTGTGCTGCCTATCAGTGCCATATATGAGTGCTGCCTTTCAGTGCCCATCAGTGATGCCTGTCAATACCCATCAGTGCCACTTACCAGTGCCCATCAGTGTCCATAACTGCAGCCTCATTAGCGCACATCAGTGAAGGAGAAAAATCACTTATTTACAAATATTAACAAAAACTTAGAAAAAAAATTTTTTTTTTCAAAATTTTCAGTGGTTCTTGGTTTGTTTAAGAAAAAATAAAAAACCCAGAGGTGATTAAATACCACCAAAATAAAGCTCTATCTGTGACAAAAAAATTATAAAAATTTAATATGGGTACAGTGTTGCATGACCGCGCAATTGTCATTTACAAAAATCATGTTTTTTACGTACATCTAAACGTACCTATCCTTTAAATGTGATTTGTGGGTTTTTACAAGAAGCCTCCGTTCCCTCTACTGGTGGAGCTTCAAAAGTACAGCTTGTCAGAGCAAACCACTACCTAGAACACTCAAAACGGACTTTAGAATGAAGATGCTCTCACACTCTAAACCGTCCATTGATTCAGCTGTGTGGGCCCTTGAAGTCATAAATCTGCAGGGAAAATGTAAGCAAAAAAAAAATC